GTCCTGTGTGGAGCTCCCTGCTCAGTCATGAGTCTGCTTCTTCCTCTCTCCCTGCACCTCTTCCTCACATGCTGATGCTCTTGCTCTCTCTCAAATAAATAAAACCTGGGGGAAAAAAAAGCATAAAGGGTCCAATATTTGCAGGAGTACATTGAATATTACATTGTAAAAATACTGAAGTTGAAGAATCCTTGCCCTGAAGTTGACTTGCTTTTTGATAGAAGTCATTGATAAATTATCAAAAACTCTTCATCCCCATAAAGTTTAAGTAAATTTTTGGTAGGGTTGATGTTTTGAAAACAGAAGAATAAGGACTACACATAAAAAATGGGCCTTTTTTTCTCTTAGTTTCCATTCATAGGGTAGGAATTTTACTACAGAAGGTAAATAAAATCAAGTAATTAAAAAAGTGTCTACCCCATGTAGACTTCAAAGAAAGATCAAGTGTTGGAAGAATTCATAGTCACAAATGATCTTTATAAGTTGAAATGGGGTGGGGGGGAAATCAGAACAGATGGTAATGTGAAATAAAGAATGAATGCCGTTGGGACCTCTGATGTGACACATGTATCAAGTGACATATATATTCTGCCTAGAAGACTAGTATTTAAGTATTTTTCTAAACCCTCCTATCAAGTGCAGCATTGATGACCACAAGTAGAGTAGGGCATGGGTGCAGGAAATGGCTTAAAATAACCTATCAGAATGGGCAAACCCCGTAAGACACCCATCTTCAAAAACCGATATGTTTTCCAATGGAAATGAGCTGAGACTTACTCTAGAACAAACTGAGATTGCTAGGTGGAAGTTTTAAAGGAAGATTCAGTTAAAAATCTAAAACAAGGGGCGCCTGGGTGGCTCAGTGGGTTAAAGCCCCTGCCTTCGGCTCAGGTCATGATCCCAGGGTCCTGGGATCGAGCCCCGCATCGGGCTCTCTGCTCAGCAGGGAGCCTGCTTCCCCCTCTCTCTCTGCCTGCCTCTCTGCCTACTTGTGATCTCTGTCTGTCAAATAAATAAAATCTTTTAAAAAAAATCTAAAACAAGTCACTTTTGTAGGTAATGAGATTTCCATCTTGAGGGCACTGGGAATACCTTGTCAGGATGTTATAAATGTGATTCCAGTCTGGTAGAGGACTGGGGATAACTGCTAAGCCCCCAAATTGTAAACTTTATGGGTATGAACAATTTGAGTAGACAAAATGGTTTTCAAGCCTTTTCATTTATCACTTATATCAGCTATTTCTGTGGAAGAATATTCTATGAGTCAGATATTAGGTAATTCTTGAACATTCTTTTCTCAACAAAATGGAGGTTTTGCACTCCAACACGTTCGTTCGGAAGCGGAAGGGTATGCTTTAGTGTGAAAGGAGTGAATCAAACAGCCCAGAAGCCATGGCAAGATGAACCTTCTCAGTCAAGGTATCAACCTTCATTACCCTGCTTGTTGAAGTGGAATACAAGTCGTAGGACAAGAAAAAATATGACCATTATTTTAGAAATGTTGTAATACTTGTCAGAAACACCTGAAAACAGTTTAAGTCAAAGTGATGTATGCTGCTTTCCGAGGCAAGGAAGAATCTTTTTAAGATGGCTGCTTTGGTCCAGTACTTCAAGGCAATTACGTTATAAACTTTCTTTAGAACAAGAACATTTTCCAGGTTCTGGGGGATGTCTTTAGTGATAAGCACTGCCTCTGAATAGAGATAGAAATACATGGGGAATTTTTGCCACATTTCGTGATTTTTAATGCTTTTTCAACGCCTTAGATAAATCTCCTCCAACATTCCAGAATAATATAAAACAACTTCAATATTTAACTTATACCAAAGTAATTGCTTACACAAAAGAAAGAAAAACTGAGATCAACTCTTACCATTCTGCGTACGATTTAAGCAGGAACGTGGGAAATGAGGGACCCTCAGTTAATATTTCACTGAAGCCGTTCAAATTGAGAGATGACAAAAAAAAAAAAAATCCTCCTACATTTTGCCACTGTTGCTTTCTGATGACACTATTCATTAAGTAAACTTGCATGACAACAATCGATGTGTGTTTTTGTTTAAAAGAAATGACTATGAATAGATCAGTTAGTTAGCAACTTTGCTATCCAGATGGCAAAAAAATTTGAGAGAGATTGTGAAAGGGGTATCAATTATTTTTAATTAAGCCAGCTTTCCTCATCCCAGGCACTGTCTGCCTCTGAAGCAGTACTTTGAGTGATCTGCTGGGTGACCTCTGGTAGAGGGAGATGACTAGTAGCTTTGAGGATTCAACACTACTACCTGAATTCCAAGGCACAAACACTACTGCACTCTCCATTTGTAAAACCACAAACACTACATATATTTGATTATGATGATCTTTTCAATTCAGTTAAAAGCAGAAGGTAACCTGCTTTTATGTGTCTTGTGGGTGGCACATGCAATGATAAGGGTATATAAATGCCCCAGTCTGAGAAGTAGCATTCAAACTCAGAAGCTTCTCATTGTACAATGCATCACCTGTCACCATGTCCTACAACTGCTGCTCTGGAAACTTCTCCTCCCAGTCCCTTGGGGGATACCTGTGCTACCCAGGATCTTTCTGCAGCTCATCTTACCCCAGCAACCTGTTCTGCAGCACTAACCTCCAGTCTCCCAGCACATACCAGCTGGGCTCCTCCCTCTCCAGTGGCTGTCAAGAGACCTGCTGTGAGGGAGGGAGACAAGATGGTGGGGAAGTAGGAGGAGGCGCCGTTTCAACCTGTTCCCCAAAGTGAGCTGATTACCTACCAAAGAACTCCGATCACCCATGAAATCAGCCTGAGATCAGAATTATACACGTCTGGATCTCTACGGGGGCAGAAGACACCAGTGGGCAGGTAAAGCGGAGTGGGAACATCGGACTGATATTGGAAGATAAACAAAAGGGGGAGGGAGCCACAAGAGGTGACCCATTGGAAAGTAATACCCCAATATGAGAGTGCTCTGCGTCTGGGGACCAGCATCAACTTGGAGTCTTGTTGAAAGCACTCAAAAAGAGCAAAGGATTGGGGGGAAATTGTGGGAAACAGGGTGGTTAGGGACAGGGGCTTAAGTACCTGGACCCAGGACAGCCACCCCTGGTGCTGAGCCAGAGAGAGTGTGGCAGAGAAACCAGGTCTTGGTCTCTGAGCCGCCAGCGTGCCTGAGAGCGCATGCAGTCCGGCTCCCGAGAGGGGCTGGGAGCCTTGCCAGCCAGCAGAAGCACAGCATTTTTGCATTCCCCACGTGAGTGCTATGCCGTGCTATCAGAGTCTGATTTGAGCCCCGCACCCTCCCCTGAGAGAGGTACACGTAGGCGCCAGCTCGGCGCTCTTGGACCCAGAAAGACCAGATACTCCCAGCCCGGGCCGGCGGGAAAATCTCAGTGCGCGATCGCTGCTTGGAACCTCTCTGGAGGACCGGAGCTGCCTAGACAGCCGCTGATGTCATGGTTTTGGGTACAAGCAGGAGTTACTGTGTCCCCAGGGACCGCAACTCAGAATGTGCTCTGCCAGCCGCCGAGGGGGAACAGACTGAGGCTTCTCTCTGAGAGGGAGGTCTGGGTGCAGTTTGCTTTCCTCTAAACCTCCAAAAACCATCAAAAGCTGTCAACACGAGAGAGAAACAAACCAACAAACAAACGAGCGAACAAACAAACATAAAAACCTCCAGAGAACAAAAGCCTGAAAGACCGGTTTCCTGAGAGCCCACCCCCTTGGGGGGGCGGGAGGACTTAACTCAGGGAACATTGCCTGAAAACCCATGTGCCAGGCCCCTCCCCCAGAAAGCCAACCAGGGGGCGGGGAAAAAAAGAAAAAAAAAAAAAAGACGACAAGAGAACAACCACCACTACTTCATAGATACAATTTTTATTTTTAATTTGTTCTCACTATTCTGGTTCATTTTTTTATATAGATAATTTTTAACCTATTTACCATCACACATCACAGTGAGATGTCCAGTACATCAAATTCCATAAAAACCTTTTAACCTGAACTTTTTGATACATACACCCGTGTTTTTCTTTTGCTTTTCTATTTTTTTATTTTTGTTTAGTTTATTCTTTTTTATTTTGATTTTTTAACATTCATAGAGAGTTAAACTTCAAGGTAATCCCCTTTCCCCAGTCAATGATACCACTATAGGTAAACCAATTTTTAATCCCCCTTTATCTTAGGAAAGTTGAGTCCTTTAACAAAGATATCAAGATACATCCAGGAAGAATCAAAATAAACTTCCTCGCCCACAATGAGAATTTATAACAACTCTCCCATCTTTTTCTTCCGCCAGTGTTTCTGTGTATTTGTGTTTGTCCTGATAGTATATAAATCTTATACTTGGGGTTCTTTTTGACGAGGTTCTTTTTTTTTTTTTTTTTTTTGCTTTTATATA